GCCAGGAACGCCCCAAGACGGCCAAAGAGGCCCCCAAGAAGCCCCCAAAGGCCCCCCAAAACCCTCCAAGAGGCCCCCAAGGAGCTCCCAGGAGGCCCCAAGAGTGCCCCAAGAGGTGCCCGAGAGGCCTCCTCCCCCTACTCCTCCTCTTCCTCCTCCTTTTTTTTCCTCATCCTCCCCCTCCTCCTCGTCTTGCTCCCCCACGCGTTCCCCGAAGTCTTTCCAAACCGATTCGGGGAACAACTGGCCCGATGGCTTGGCCAAGCTTTGGCCCAGCTGTCAGCCACAGAGGCGCTTCCAAAAAGGCAGGGGGCGGCGGTGATTCACCGTAGACGTCTTCGATCCGCCGCCCCCTGTTGATTAATCACAGGGGTGCCTGGCGTGCTAGATGCTACCGTTTTTGGTTTTGGCTCTTCCCCTGACGCTTTGGTCCGCCCCGCCGGCCACCAAGAAAAAGCGCAAACGACAACAACGTCCGCAAAAAAAATCCAAGACGGCTCAAGATGGCTTCTGAAATGGTCACGTTGGCCCAAGATGGCATCCACGATGGCCCACGATGGCCCAAGTTGCATCCCAATCCGCCGAAGAAGCCAGTAAGACGGCACAAGATGGTTCCAAGATGAATCTGAATCTGCACAATTTGTTTGGTCTGCGGGTCGGGAGCGGGCCCCTTCCGGTCAAAAGCTAAACGGGGCGCGAGTAGCCCCAATCGGGGAGACAGGGCGCGGGCGGGCGGGGCCTCAGGCGGCCGGAAGGCGCGGACTGCAGGCGGCGCCGAATATCTTGCACATGAAAAGGTACGCCATGGACAGGAGCGGGGGGCGAAGTCCCGGGGGGAGAGTGCATTGGCGTCGCCGTCAACGGCGCGCCAGGAACACCACCCTCGAGTGCTGCGTGGGGAGGGGCGTGACCATGTCAACGTCCGTGAGGTACAGGAAGACCAGGTAGGCGAAGTGCACCAGGTGCCACCGACTGGTAAGGAGAGGCCTAGAAGATGAGGATGACCACGAAGTCGATGTGCAACGTTGTGCCACCGGGTGGTCAGTAGCGGCCTGGGGTGGTAATCCAATCCACGTCCAGGTAGCAGCCACGAGGTTCGGCGTGAAAGCCGACTGTGTCCGCCTGCCGCAGGCCGGGCCGGAGCCGCGCTGCCCAGGGTGAGCGGGGCCGCCGAGGCGGCAAGGTGCAGCGCCAGCACCGGGCCGGAGCCGCGCTGCGCTGGGCGCTGCCGCCGTGGGAGGGGGGGAAAGCGAGCGGGGAGGGAAAAAGCGGACAGGGAGGAGAGAGGCCAGCGTCCCACGCCAGCCGGAGCCCCGCCAGGGCGCACCGAGGTGCCCGCGTGGGGACACGCCCCAATGTGCACAGGTAAGACCCGAGGCCCCAGCGCGGGCGTGTCACGCACGTCGCTGTCGTACCAATGCGTCGCAGCTCAGAACAGGAGGGGGCACAGAGTCCCAGATCCTCGAATCATGTCCAGCCGATGGGTACAGGGGGACACAGTGTCCCAGATCCTCGAATCACGCTCAGCCGATGGGCACAGGTAGGACACAGAGTCCCAGATCCTTTGGAATCAGCCGATGGGCGCAGGGGGGAGGCAGAGTCCCAGGTCAGTGAATCTCAATCAGCCGCTGCATACAGGTAGGACACAGAGTCCCAGATCAGGAAACGGGAGAGAGGGAGAGGAGGAGGAGGAGGAGAGGACGGGGCCCAGGTGAACAGGTGAATGCCAGCGCATGGACAGCGGGCGCCACAAGGGCGAGGGGTAAAAGGGGGGAGAGGGACACGCGGCCCCCAGTCGGGCGTCAGGAGGGGAGTGGGTCGGGGACGGGGGCCCATGCCCGTAACACACGTGGTGCTGCTCTCGGTTGTACTGCTCGCCGACGTGCTGGGCGCAGTGGTTTTGCAGGTGCGGGTCGTGCTCGCCCCACTCGTGGTGCTTCTCACGGTCGCATTGCTCACCGACGTGCTGGGCGTAGTGGTGCCACTGGTCCCGGTCGTGCTTGTCATACTCGTGGTGCTGCTCTCGATCGTGCTGCTATCCGACGTGCTGGGCATACTAGTGCTGCTGGTATTGGTCCTGCTCGTCACACTAGTGACCCTGCTCTCGGCCGTACCGTTCCCCCACGTGCTGGGCGTAGTGGTACTGCGGGTATCGGCCGCGCCCGTCACATTGGCGGTGCTGCTCTCGGTCGCGTTGCTCGCCGACGTGCCGGTGGTGCTGCAAGCACGGGTCATGCGCGTCACCCTCGCAGTGTTGCTCTCGGTCGCACTGCTCGTCGGCGTGCTGGGGGTAGTGATGCCGCTGGTACCAACCGTGCTTCTTACACTGGTGGTTTTGCTCTCGGTCGCACTGCTCGCCGACGCGTTAGGCGTAGTGGTGCTGACGGTGGCGATCGTACTCGTCGCACGCGTGGTGCTGCTCTCGGTCGTACTATTCTCTGATGTGCTGGGCTTGGTGCTGCTGGTACCGGCTGCGCTCATCACACTCGTGGGCTGCTCTCGGTCGCACTGCTCTCAGACGCGCTGGGCGCAGTGGTGCTGCTGGCACAGGTCGTGCCCGCCACACCCGTGATGTTGCTCTCGGTCGCATTGCTTGCCGACGCGCAGGGCGTAGTGGTGCTGCTGTTAGCGATCGCGCTCGTCGCACCTATGGCGCTGCTCTCGGTGGCACCGCTCGCCGACGTGGTGGGCGTAGTGGTGCTGCTGGTAGAGTTCGCGCTCGCCATACTCGTGGAGCTGCTCTTGGTCGCACTGCTCCCCGACGTGATGAGCGTAGTGGTGTCGCTGGTACCGGTCGTACTTGTCATACTCGTGGTGCTGCTTTCGGTCGCACTCTCCGACGTGCTGGGCGTAGTGGTGCTGCTGGTACCAGTCGCGCTTGCCACACTCGTAGGGTTGCTCTCGGTCGTACTGCTCGCCGCTGTGCTGGGTGCAGTGGCGCTGTTGGCACCGGTCGCGCTCGCCCCGCCCGCGGCGCTGCTCCCGGTCGCACTGCTCGCCGACCTGCTGGGCGTAGTAGCGCTGCTGGCATCGGTCGCGCTCGTCATATCCGCGGTGCCGCTCCCGGTCGCACTGCACGCCGACGTGCTGGGCTTGGTGGTGCTGCTGGTAGCGGTCGCGCTAGTCACGTTGGTGGTGCTGCTCTCGGTCGCACTGCTCGCCGACGTGCTGGGCGTAGTGGTGCCACTGGTACCGGTCGTGCTCATCATACTTGTGGTGCTGCTCTCGGACGCTCTGTTCGCCGACGTGCTGGGCGTGGCGGTGCTGCTGGTACCGGCCGCGCTCGCCACACTCGTGGTGCTGTTTTCAGTCGAACCGCTCGCCGATGCGCTGGGCGTCGCGGCGCTGCCGGCACCAGTCGCGATCGTCACATCTGTGGTAATGCTCTAGGTCGTACTGCTCACCGACATGCTAGGCGTAGCAATGCTGCTGGTATCGGTCGCGCTTGTCACACCCGTAGTGCTGCTTTTGGTCGCACTGCCCGCTGACATGCTGGGCGTAGCGGTGCTGGTGGTAGAGGCCGCGCTCGTCACACTGGTGGCGCTGCTCTCGGTCGCATTCCTCGCCGACGTGCTGGGCGTAGAGCCGCCGGCGCCGGTCGTGCTCATTCACGTGGTCCTGCTCTCAGGACTCTCCGATGCGCTGAGCGCAATGGAGCTGCTGGTGCCAGTCACGCTCACCAGACTTGCGGTGCTGTTCACCGTTGCACTGCTCGCCGTCGTGCTGGGCGTAGTGGTGCCGCTGGTATCCGTCTCACTCGTCATACTCATGGGCTGCCCTCGGTCGTATCCGTTGTGCTGGGCGTAGTTGTGCCGCTGGTAGCGGTCGTACTCGTCGCACTCGCGGTGCTGCTCTCGGTCGTACTGCTCGCCGACAAGCTGAACGGAGTGGTGCCGCTGGTGCCCGTCGCACTCGTCATGCTCGTGGTGCTGCCTTCGGTCGCACTCCTCGCCGACGCGCTGGGCGCACTGGTGCCGCTAGTACCCGTCGTACTCTCTTTGAGCTCTCGGTCGTACTACTCTCCGACGTACTGGGCGTAGTGGTTATGCTAGTAGCGGTCGTGCTCGTCGTAGCCGTGGCGCTGCATTCGGTCGCACTGCTCGCCGACGTGCTGGGCGTAGTGGTGCCACTGATACCGGTCGTACTCGTCGTACTCGCGGTGCTGCTCTCGGTCGTACTACTCTCCACCGTGCTGGACGCAGTGGCGCCACTGGTACCAGTCGTACTCGTCATGCTCGTGGCGCTGCTCTCGGTCGCACTACTCTCCGACGTGCTGGGCGTAGTGGAGATGCAGGTGCGATAGTATTCGTCATACTCGTTCTGCTGCTTCCAATTGTACTGCTCGCCGGCGTGCTGGGCGTAGTGGAGCCGCTAGTACATGTCGTACTCGTCATGCTCGTGGTGCTGCTCTCGGTCGTGCTGTTCGTCGACGCGCTGGGCGCAGCGGCGCCACTGGCACCAGTCGCACTCGCCACACTCGCGGCGCAGCTCTAGGTCGCACTACTCCCCAACTTGCTGGGCGCAGTGGTGCTGCTGGTAGCGGTCATAGTCGTCTTACCCGTGGCGCCGCTCACGGTAGTACCGCTCGCCGACGTTCTGAGAGTAGTGGCGCTGCTGATACCAGTCGAACCGCCCTACCCGTGGTGCTGCTCTCGGTCGCACTGCTCGCCGACGTGCTTGGCGTCGTGGTGCCGCAGGTGCCGGGCGAAATTGTGATGCATGCGGTGCTGCTCCCGGTCGCACTGCTCGCCGACGTGCAGGGCGCGGGGGTGCCGCTAGTACCGGTCGTTCTCGAGATGCTCGCAATGCTGCTCTCGGTTGCACTGTTCGCAGACGTGTTGGGCGTAGTGGTGCCGTTGGTACCGGTCGCACTCGTCATACTCGCGGTGCTGCTCTCGCTCGCACTGCTCTCAGACGCGCTGGCAGTAGTGGTGCCGCTGGCGTCCGTCATCATCGTCATACTCGTGGTGCTGCTATCGATCGTAGTGCTCGCCGTCGACATGGGCGAAGTGGAGCCACTGGTGCCGGTCGCACCCGTCATACTCGTAGTGCTGCTCTCGGTCGCACTGCTCGCTGACATGCTGGGGGTGGTGGCGCCGCTGGTGCAGGTCGCACTCGTCATACTCGTGGTGCTGCTCTCGGTCGTACTGCTCACCGACGTGCTGGGCGTGGCGGGGCCTCTGGTACTGGTCGTACTCGTCATGCCCGCGGCGCTGCTCTCGGTCGCACCTTCCGCCGACGCCCCCCCAGTCGTCGTCGCGCCAGTCCGCATCGCAGGCGCGCACAGGGAGAACGGCCCCCGATGAATACAGGTGGGACACAAGGTCCCAGATCAGGCAAAGGCAGGAGAGGGGGGGGAGGACACGGGAAAGACGGGAGCACAGGTGGTGGGAGTGCGGAGGCGTGTTGCGTCGTGCTGCCATAGGGCGAAGGGGCCAGGTCGCCGGCTGGTAAGCGCCGCGGGCACTTTCCAGTCCAAGTGTCGCGGTACCCGGAGCTGCGCGCCTGTTCCTTTTCGCACCCGTCACCCTTGGCGACCTATTTTTTCCTCTGTACGTCCTGGTACAGCAGGGCCGTGGCAGGCACTCCAGGCCTCAAGTGGAGCGGGCCAGCCTAGGTGGGAGCCCAAGTGCGCTGCCGCGCCCGCGGGAACGTGGACCGACGTCCTCTCGTGCCCGGCGCGAGCACGCATGAACGCGACGATGACGTACATGGGTACAATGTAGGGCTGTACTCTGCCTTTGCCGGGCTCCCTGTAGTCGATACTGCGCCACTCCCACTGTGCAAGGCTTTCCGGGGACGAGCGAATGACGCCCCGAACGCGCTCGTTAAGCGAACGGCGGCTCGTCGTGGCGAGGGCCAGATCGAAATAGTCGTGGAAGTCTGGGCGTTTCCCCGTGAGCGCCACGAACCGGCGGAAGACGTCGGGCTCGTGGCGCACGGGATCGTAGGTGCCAGGGCCCACCATCGCCCTGTTGGCGCGACAGAAGTCACGCCACTGGAGTGCCCCCCCCGTCCTCTGCCACGCCCTGACCCGCTCCACGAAGGCCGGCGGGTCGTCCGCGAGCGCGCCGTCCCCCGAGGCAGACTCGTCAGGCGACTGCTCCGCCGCGTGGCCCGCGCCCAGCTCTGCGTTCGTACAAGGCCCGCTCGCATCGGGGGGCGAGGGCATGGTGAGCGATGCTACCAGGCCTGCCCCGTTTCCACTGGCAGGCGGCACGTACGGGGACGGCTGGGCCAGAGCAGTTCGGATAATGGGTCGCCATCGGCTGGAGGAGTCAGCGGCGGGTGACGGCTGGGGGCCCCAGTCGCAATTTTCCTAGCGCGCGCGAACCACCATCGCGGAGTCTCTTGGAATCCAAGGCGGCTGGGTGGTCTGGTCGCGTTACGGGCGGGTTGTGTAGGACGGTCGGCAGACTCCTCTCTGTTGTCCCCCTCCTCCACAGCGGTGGGCCCCCCTTCCTCCTGCGACTCGCGACTATCTTCACACTCTGCCCAGTGGAGGCGACTGACCGCCGGAGAGTCTGTTGGAATCCGAGGCGGCTGGGTGTTCACAGGGGTCGTGTCTCGAGGAACCAAGGGCAGGGAGGGAAGAGAAAAGTCAGTCTCAGGGGAAACGCTCGAGTCGCTGGCAGGGGAAGGAGGACAAATAGGAGCGAAAGGGCTCCTCGAAACCAGCTTGAGGATAGCTGCGTTGTCCCACTCGTCAGGGGAGGGCTGACGCGCGGGCGCTGTGGAACTTCCCAGTGCCGTCTGGAGGGTGGCTTCACTGTCGGGCTGGCCGTCGGGTTGGCCGTCGGGCTGGCCGTGGGGCTGGCCGTGGGACTCGGCGTCAGGGAGGGCCTCAGGTAGAGTGTTAGAAAGGGCGTCGAACTGGTCGCGGGCCTGGCAATCGGTTTGACCGCGGGGCTGGCGGTCGGGCTGGCCGTGGGGCTGGCAGGGGGGCTGGCTGTAGGGCTGGCCGTCGGGCTGGCCGTCCGG